TTCCCGCGGCAGCTGATTGGCCAGGCCCGGTCCCTGTCGGCTTCTTCACTCTCCCGGACGCGCCGCTCGCCGGAGGTTGCATCAGCCCTGCCGGCTCTGCGCGTGCGCACTCGCTTCCCCGGGCTCCTAGGAGACCGCCCCTCCTCCGCCCTCGGGCGACAGGGAGCGTTTCCCAATAACCCGCGAGTTCCCCGGGGCCCTTTTAAGGGCCTAATGCAGGCACACGTGTGCACACGTAACCTAGGCTTGCATAGATCGGGGTTCAGTGCTAAACAGATCATCACCTGAGATCTGAGTTTAATAAGAGTTGGGCAACGCTGTATCAATACACCTCTAACAGTGTTAAGACACGAACAGTGTCAAGACCTACAGTAAATAACACGAGTGAAAAATTGCCAGTGAAAAGTGAATCATTTTCATGCATGCATTCCTGCCCCCTCAATTTTAGTGTTTCTAAATCACTCGTTAGCTTCGCCTGGAATCCAGATTTAAGGTTTCTCAGCGTCCAACCTACCTACATCCCCCGCGAAAATGTGAATTCTTTTTTCTCAAGTAGATCCCTAGTAGACTTTCCCTTTTCAACTGGGCAAACTGAAGTCACAGAGGAAAGAAACATAGCCTCAGAACTGTTTCTCTCTTTAATGCTTCCCAGCAGGCAAGCATTCACATCATATTTATATCCTGAGCCCGCAGAACTAAGGATACAACAGCCAAAGGAGAAAGCAGAGAACATTGTCGTCTGAAAAATATTTTGTCATAATTTTATTCTTTTGTGAGTTTGGTCTTAGTTCATTTCCTTATTCCTGCCAAAACGTTTTAATTGACACCCATAAAGTCAAGTATCTATTACAGAGGGAGGGTAGCAGTTATGATCACTTGGGAGAGCAGAAAGCTTTTAGAAGCCAGGAGAAGCCAGCAGCTCCCCATGCTTCATTGGGACGCCAACAGCTACTTCTTTCTGGAAAACTAAGAGGTCCTCAATTACCCCTTATTATATTATACACTAGAGGCCAGATGCACAAAATTCGTGCAAGAGTAGGCCTTCCTTCCCTGGCTGCTGGCACCGGCTTCCCTCTGGCACCCGGGACCCGGGCTTCCCTCGCAGCCCCGGCTTCATCCAGAAGGACATCCAGTCTAATTAGCATATTATGCTTTTATTACTATAGATTATCTCTGGAAATATCTCATTTTCAATCCTCAGAACTTCAAAACGATGGGTTAGTACTAGGAGTCAGCTTAATAATAGAAAAGAGAAATCCAAATATGCACATTAACAACTCAGAAGCCTCAGTTTCTTCCTTTGTAAAGTAAGGCTAATAATTCCTCTTTCAGTGGGTTGGAGAGAACACGAAATTCTTACTACAGAGCCCAGTCTAGATAGAGTAGGGGGACAAACACTAATTAATGGGTTATTTATCAGCTAATAACCGGTTCCCACTGCCTACAGAATAAAGACTCTGTACAGATGCCTCCTACTACACTTTTCCAGGCTTCTCTCCAGTAACTTCCCTTCATGCATGTAATGTTCTAGGAATGTTGGACTTGCTTCATGCCTTTACCCCTGCTCTTTCTCAGCCAAGAATCACCCCCCGCCCCCCGTTCTATGCCCACTTATGTTTCAAGGTCCAACTCAAATGTCAGCTCCTTGAAATCCTTGCTAACTTCCCCAGTCAGAACCATACTAGACTCTTTTAGAGCACGCAGTTCACTACACTAGATACTGCGAACCTGTCAATGTTCTTCTCTCCTGCTTGTCTCAGTTCCGTGAAGGCTTTGTCCCAATACCCTAGCACAGTGGTTCCCAAAGTATGGTCTGGGCACCCCTGGGGATCTCATTTTAAGACGCTTTCAAAGGGTTCTCAAGATCAATAATATTTTCATAATAATACCAAGCTATTATTTTCCTTTTAACTCTCATTCTCATGAGTGTGCAGTGGACATGTATCTTCTAGGGCAGTGATGGCGAACCTTTTGAGCTCGGCGTGTCAGCATTTTGAAAAACCCTAACTTAACTCTAGTGCCATGTCACATATAGAAATTTTTTGATATTTGCAACCATAGTAAAACAAAGACTTATATTTTTGATATTTATTTTATATATTTAAATGCCATTTAACAAAGAAAAATCAACCAAAAAAATGAGTTCACGTGTCACCTCTGACACGCGTGTCATAGGTTCGCCATCACTGTTCTAGGGCAAGCATGTCAAACTCAAAGGCTAACAAGGGCCAAATAAACGAGGCATGCGGCCCACTGGCCGTGAGTTTGACATGCTTGTTCCAGGGGATATATGATATATGATCTGGCAATGGATTGAACGCAAAAGCAGATAGGAGGTTCCAGCTGTCTTCTATTAAGTCAGATATTAAAGATATTGGGGGCGGGGGAATGTAAAACTGTCGCTCTTCTTGCTAAACTTGTTTTGTTTTGAAAAATAATATTTTCATGAAAAATGTTATGTTAGCATGGAATGGATAGATATATTCTTTTTAAATAAATATTTTTCAATTCCTCCATTTTGAATTCGAAAACAGTAACTATCAATAGATATAATGCACATAAACAAAAATTCCTTGGGGTCCCCAATTATTTTAGAGTGTAAAGGGGTCCTAAGACCAAAAAGTTTAGGAACTACTGACCTAGCATGTTGAATGGCACGTAATAAGTAACTGATATCCCTATATACCACAGTTTCCAGTTTGATCCCTGGTCAGGAAACATACAAAAACCAATTAATGAATGCATAAATAATTGGAACAACAAATCAGTTTCTCTCTCTCTTTCTCACCCTCTCTCTTTTTCTCTTCTTTCCTCTCCCTCTCAAAGAAAATCAATAAATAAAAAATGTAAAAAGAAACTAAAAATAAGGGATTAAATGTTGAAGAAGAAGACTAGTAATGCTTTAAAATAATAGCATTTTTCTCCTAGCCGGTTTGGCTCAGTGGATAGAGCGTCGGCCTGTGAACTGAAAGGTCTCAGGTTCGATTCCAGTCAAGGGCACATGCCCAGGCTGTGGGCTCGATCCCCAGTGGGGGGCTTGCAGGAGGCAGCCGATCAATGATTCTCTCTCATCATGGATGTGTCTATCTCCTCTCCCTCTTCCTTCCTCTCTGAAATCAGTAAAAATATATTTAAAATAATAATAATAGCATCTTTCTTATGACCAAGCATCTCGCATTCCACTCTCAACTTTATCACTAACACTACATAATCCTGAAAATAATTTCTTTAAAACTTTCTTGAATGGTCTTCCCCATCTAGTCATTGGATACATAATTTTTTTTTAAAGGGGAAAAAATGCAATCAGAAAGAATTGGAAAGGCTGTAAGAATATACGACTGCCTTGTCAGTCTTGACAGGTAAATAAAGTGTGAACCAGGCGCGTCCAGCCTGCTATCAACTAGAGGCAGAGGCAGGGCAGCTCTGGACACAGAGATAACATGCCGCCTTGGCTGTGTGCGTGCGGGTGAGACAAGAAGTCCTTGGCCCGGCAAGCTGACTGGCACTTTAGCAGAAGATCATTTAAACCTCAGTTAAATAGGTTTATGTATTTATTTACTTATTATTTTAATATGTTGATTTTTAAAGATTTTGCTGCACCTGAGGTAAAGGGTGTATAGCTTTTGACTTCATTTTTTCAGAGTTAGTAACATCTCCAAAATCTTCTTTCCAGGCATTCCACACTCTGGACACCACCTTCTATCTTTCTAACTCACTGCCCTGGCATTACTATTCAGTGACTTATAAACCCCCAAAACTTCAAAATCATTGTCATTACCACTTCCCTCCTTACTGAGCATAAATTCCATGATCCAGCATTAAAACCACCCCCTGGCAAAGGTCCTTCATTCTCTCACCATTCTCCTACTCCCACCTTCTTTTCTGGCAAAGTTCCAGCCTTAGTTAAACCCAACCATGCACTCATTCTAAGCCTACACCCTTGCAGCTAACCAGTGCCCGAGAAAAGCACTCAGCTATGCTGACTGACACACTTCATATTTGTGATCACAAATTTCATCAATGCCAGGCACTCCTACAGATATCCATATCCATAGCAGCT